TGAAGATCCTTAAAATCTGATATCGTATTAAGAAGTTACGATGTTCAAAATACAAGACCTAAGCCAAACCACAAGACTTACGCAACCAAGCAGTCGAGATCGCATTGGACATAAGCATCAACAACCCCAAGCACCTCATCAATGATTGTCACATAAGATGCCGTGAAAAAAACCTAAAGAAATCATTCATAAGTACTGAATGAGTACAAAAAGGACTTATTTTGAAACAAAAAAAATGTTAAGAACTAAATATGTACAAAAATATTAAGGACTAAATGTGTACAAAATGAAAAATATATTACCCTATCAAGTCATTTTTCCCGGCTAACCTGGAGTAACAGGTCATAAGGACTGAATGTGTACAGTTTAACAAGTTTAAGGGGTAAATGTGAACGAAAAAAAAACTCAGTGACCAAATGTGTACAAATCGAATAATATGTTACCCTTTTAAGTCATTATCCCTTTCCAATGTTTGAATTTGGAAGGTTTGTAAATTAAATCCATCAGTCGCAAATGTCCCCATCACATTGTCAGTTGATGCTTGATATAGCGAAAGGGCAACACACTATTTAATGTTATACCAAGCCCTTGTGTGCCCCAGCTTTTATTGCATTCCCTGCGTCCTGGTTGGAGGCACCATATAACTTTTTATAAAGGTAGTAACCGACATTTTCCCTCAAATTAGTTTTAAAAACTATTTAAAACTGTTTTTTTATGATATCAAACATATTTTAAAGTTATATCTCTTGGGGTTAATCACTTCAAGTCTTCATCAACTTGATAAACAATTTTATATACAAGAGTAATAATGAAACCAAAAAACAAGAACACAGTATTGCACTCTAATTCTCACAATGCAGTAAACAATCTTTCGTTGCATCCTAATTAGTTCTAATAGGAAGTTCTTCAACCACATAAGTTTATTTCTTGCTTCTGAAATACCCATGTACATTGTATCTGTGTTTGAAAGAGTAGTACTCTTTTGTAACATGTATATCCAACCGGCTGGCATACCTCTAAATGTGAGCACATAACGTGTTATGTTCTTTCCCAAATCAATACAACCCTCCAAATTAGCATCAAGAAAACCATCCAATACTAGCTGTTTTCTTCTTAAACATAAGCCATCCTTGGTAGTACCTTTCAAGATTCATAACAACCACTTCACTCATTTCCAATGCCCTCTTCACGCATTAGACATAAACCGGCTCACAACTCCAACTACATGATCAATTTTTGGTCTACTGCACTCATTGCATAAATCATGCTATCAATTGCTGATTTGTAAGGAACTTTACATGTTTCTTCTTTTGTCTTCTTATGTACTTGGAGACTGTTTATTTGAGAGACTTAATATTGTCATTTGCATTGCCATGATGAACTTCTATAGAACTTTATTTATGTAATTTGGTTAAGAAAGCTTCAAAGCACTAACACCTTGTCTTTGGCTATGCTCATGTCCAAAATTTGTTTGATAGTCCCTAGGTCCTTCATCTTGAACTCTCTAGACAACTGTTTTTAACCTATTGATTTCCATGTCTAATCCAACCATCATCATATCGTTTCAGGTTAGGTCTCTTCCTTATCTGTAACTTTATCTTATGTGCTTCCACTATCTCTAGATTCATTTGAGATCTTACTGCTCAATATTCATCGATCTTAGGAGTAGTAATAGGTTTACAATGTATTAATCTAAGATTTCATCAAACTCACCTTGATTTTTCTCTTATGGTTTCTTTTCTTTGTTGAAAAATATACTCTTATAATTACAAACTGAAATCAATCCATGCATTGGGTATATTGTGTAAATGTGTTGTTTTGTGTGGCTTAAATTATAAGTTATTCAGGATTGTTTCGGGTTTGCATGCGGGTTTCTGGGTGCTCCGTGGGTATACAGTTATTTGGTTCTACCCGACGTATTTAAGGGTGAAGCAGTAGATATTTTTTGTCATTCAGTCATTCATCTTAATCGTCTCTTCCCTCTGATTACTATACTTAGGGTTTCAAGATTAAGAACTTGTTCTTATAGTCTACTCTTGGTCTCGTTATATGTTTGAGTGTGAGTGATTGTTGTAGTGAGATTTTCAGTTGTAATATGTATATGTAAACCATCTGTTTCATAATGAATGAAATGATGATGTTGGGAAAATCTTGTGTCGTTTACGTTTTTAAGATGGCATCAGAGCTTTCAAGCTCTGATTCTTCGTTTTAGACGCTCGTTTGTGGTTCTTCATCCGATCGTCGATTTCAGAAAGGTATTCTCTAAATTCTTCTCTTATTTGCTTGTTTTTTCTTAGATCGTCATAGTTGTTGTTCGATCTTGGGTTTCGTTTCTGAATCCCTAGGTTTGCTACATAAACTATGATTTCTTTTATTATTCTTTTCAATCTAGGGTTTCCGATACTATACCTTTAGATTGAATTGAAAATCTATGTTTTTTAAGATCCTAGTACTGTGAGTTTGTTTATGATCTTGCAGGATATTGTTGGCTTGATTGTGGTGGTTCGTTTTTGGAGTCTCGTTGACTGCGACACATTCAATCAATCTCTTAGTCTGAAATAAATCTCGGGGGGTCGGATTTGGTCACTGATAAACCCTAGTAGGTAACAGACGAAGAAATTCGACTCTTCATCGTATTCTCCCATTAGTTTTCTGAGGATTTTCTTGTTCCTTTCGTTCTTTAATTCTTATTGATATTGTTCTTTCTGCGAGATCCTAGTGTCTTGTGTACACCAATTATTTTTTTGTTTACATTGCTTTATTGTTGTGTTTCTTTGGCTCTATATTGGTTGTCTTAGGCCCAACATACATGGTGACCATATGGACGATAGATCAGTACAGTTGTATGTTCTCTTATTGATTCTTGTCTACTATCTTGCTATTTTTTTCTATGGCTGGTGATCATGTTGTTTCACCTGGTGGAAGTGGAAAGGATGATCCAATTAATTTTGATTATCCTCTCTACATTCACCCATCTAATAATGCTATCACTTCTATTGTCACCACAAAATTAACTGGTAATGAAAACATTCGATTGTGGAGAAGCTCTATATCTAGGGCTCTTAAGGTTAGAAATAAAATTGGATTTGTTGATGGTTCTTTAAAAAAGAAGGATGGTGATGAGTCAAAAAAGTCTAAATAGGATAGGGCTAATGCTCTTGTTTGTTCTTGGCTTTTGTCTTTTATTTCTGATTCTACATATCAGAGTCAAGCTTATTCTGAGGTAGCTAAGGATATTTGGAAAAATCTTTTTGAAACATATAATAAGTCAGATGGTTCTGTGGCGTTCAATATACATGAACAGGTCAATTCTCTTAAACAAAATGGAATCTCTTTGTCAGATTACTTTAATAAACTTGATTCTTTATGGAAAGAATATGATGGTTTTACTAGTTTAACTGAGTGTACTTGTGAGGCTTCCATTAAACTCAAAGATCATTCTAATCTCATAAAACTTATTCAGTTTTTATTTGTACTTGATGAATCCTATAATCTGTAACATCCAGTTTACCAGGTATATTGTTTTGAGTATTTAATTCAAGGACTTTGGAGGGACTCGACGAGTCGGAGAGATGACTCGCCGAGTCAGCGCTGTTGATAGAAACCCTAATTCTCTCGGGCCAGGGCCTATTTAAAGGCTCTTAAGGCCTCCTATTGCGGCTACCTTTCAGAAGAGAGAACCCTAAACGAGTCCTTAGTTTTTTGGGCAAGAGAGAGAGCCATTTTGAGCTTCTTGGTGGAGGGTTTGCAAGGAAGAAGGAGGTTTCAAGCT